ATTGATTTTATATCTATTTTCAAAAGTTTAAGTTATATATTAATTGTATAAAAAATATATTTTAAATAAAATTAATTAATTTTTAATAATTTTTTTAAAATTTATATTTTTTATTAAGTTTTCTATAAAAAAACTAGTATTTTTAATTGAGTTAAAATTAAAATTATTAATTTCTTATTTTCTTTTAAAAAAAATTTTAATTTATTTTAAAAGACTTTTATTAATTTAATAATTTTTTTTTAAAATACTTAGTTTAATTACTAAATTAATAAAAAATTTATATAAATTTTTTATTAAACTTTTTATGTCAATTAAATAGAAACTATTTAAAAAAAAATTAAAAAAATTAAAACTTATTTTTTATCTTTAAAATATATAAAAATATTTATTAAAAAACTCTTTAAAAATAAATTAATAAATTAAATTAATAAGTTTAATAATTTAAATTTTATAATATTTACTTTAAAAAATTAAAAAAAAATTAAAAATAATCAATTTTTTAATTAATTTTTCAAAGTAAATTTATAAAATTATTATATTTAAAGAGAATATAACTAGTTTTATAAAATATATCTTATTTATATTTTATTTAAATTAAGTTAATTAAAAAGTATTTATTTAAAAACAGAGAAATAATTAATAATTTAATTAAAAAACTTATTTTTATATAAATATTTTTATTTATATATTATTATTTAAAAATTTAAAATTTAAAAAAACTTTAAAAAATCTAAAAAATAAATTAAAATAATATATTATTTAGTAATAATAATTAAAAAATAATTTTTATTATTAATATTTTTTTATAAAAAATTTTATTATTATTATTATTATTATTATTATTATTATTATTATTATTATTTACTTTTTAAATTAAATAGAAAATAATATTTTATTATATTTATTAAAAAACTTAAATTTTAATTAAAGTTTTATATAATTATTTAATATATTTTTAATATATTAAAGTTATTAAAATATATATAATTTTTTATATTTTTGATTTTTATTTAATTTTTATATATATATTTATTTATTTATTTTATTAATTAATTAAATTAACTTATTTAATTTTTTATATAATTGCTTTATAAATATTATTAATAATATTTTATAATAGTTAATATTATAATAAGTTTTTAAAATAAAAAGTATAAAATATTAAAAATATATATTATTAAATAAATATAAAATAATTAATATTACTATAAAATTTAGTTATAAAATTTAATATAAAAATTTTAACAAAAACTTTAACTTAAAAAAACATTAAATCTGTTAAATAATATATTATTTAACTTCATTTAACATAACATACTCAGATAAATAAGAATAAGATATCTTTAAACCTAGTTTGGTTTAATTTGTTTAATTAGTTGTAGTTGAGTATAGGTAATTCAGGTTAAAATCTAGTCATTTGAAATATTTTGAATTAGTTTCATTCAATTGGGAATTAACTAACTACCCATCTGCTAACTGGTTAAACCATTTGTTCAAGCAGAAACCAGAGTGGAAAAAGATGTTTCTCCGCTCCAATCGCGTAGTTAACTAACAAACCGGTTCAACTCACATCCAGATGCGCCCCCCTCTCATAGGTGCGAACGATAATATCCAAATAATTGAAGATCTCCATCTCAGGAGAACCTGACCGACAACTCTTGATCCGTACATTCTGGGTCACCGTCATTTGGAGAAGTTACGTCATTCATGACACGTTCATTTCATATTTGCAGTCGCAGCAATTACCGCTGTCAATCTGACATTGCAGTGGCAGAGAGGTGGTCCGGCTAAGGACATAGGAAACTGCATGATGGAACGACCATGCAGTGGTATGTTTCGTATCAGGCCGAGTTTCACAAGCCCATGATGCTCTAGATGCTCCAAATCCGCCCAGCGAGTCACAACATAGCTTTATGGTTAAAGATTCTGCATCTTTTCCCGCTTGCTCCTCATAATTGATTTTCGTGTTACGGGGCAGCTAGTTTTACAAAAGCTCTTGAATTTTCACCAGTTGCCATTGGTGTAAACAAAAAAAATGCACGCAATCTGGTAACCTACTACTTGGTCGCCGGATTGGAGGAGCTGTCTGTATTAGTTGATTATGCATAAAGTATTGGTGTTGTGCATTTTATATTTAAGTTCTATACAGTACAAGATGCGCACTGCAGATAAAACAATCATTTCTCGTTTTTCAATTGGAACAGACATGAAATGGATATGTTAACATTAAACTATGAGTGGTGTACCTTGTGCAAGGGGAAGTTATCTGGATATCGAGTAAACATAGTGAACCAATAGCAATATTGGAACATCTAGACAGAGAGAACAAAATCCACTAGGTAACTAACGTACGAAGATAGATAACTAACCCTGTGAACAGAGACCACCAATGGTGATGCTTAGAGGGCCGTACCATGATAAAACCCTCTCGTGTATCACTCTCGTGTTGTCTACTCCTTCCAAACTTTGTACACAATCTTGGAGCCCCAAACTTGCCCCTGCTTCAAGACACTCATGCTCCTCCATGCGGGCTCGTTTGGAGCGTTGATATAACGGCTAGGTTCCACACAAAATCCAGATCGAGGGCCCCGTGGGGGGGCGTCACCAACTGGGGGGGCGTTGATAAATTCACCAGTGTAGAACTGGAATGCGGGCTCTGTGCTTTGGACCTCGAGATGAATTCCGGTGACAAGGTGCTTGAATGCTGCGTTGAGACGTAGCGGCCGAAAGCGGGTGTCAACGGGAATTGATACCGCATCCGTGTCTATGACGAAGCAGTGATCGAAATCTGGGGACGTGGCGCCGAGGAGGAAAGGCTTCTTGACCTCCGTTGAGGTGTACTTCTCTATCGTGCCCAGGGGAATACCTGTGGAATCTACAGGCAGGTATTTGTCGGTGGCTAGTACTGCCTCTGTACCTTCGATCGTCAGGCTGTCACCCAAATTAAAGTAACTAGATGCGTGAAAGTATTAGATTATCTGGGTATTGTTATGTCTTTTTGCAGAGTACTACAAAAAAAAAAAAGAACAAAAAAAAAGGTAAGAAAGGATGAATCTGAAACAAAAATGAAAATATCAAGACCACTCACGTATGATTCGTAACTCCCACCACAGTCTCTGCACACTCATTTCCGATAAACTCGACCTCGTATTCGATCTCTAGAACAGTTTTGGCTCGGCCTCCACTCTCAGCCGCCGCCTCCATACCAGTTGTATACCATAACCTCAGTTCCACGGTGCCCGGATAGCCCTCCTCGGCATCCAAGCTCAAGTACTTGAACTCCAACGCTTCCTTCCCATTCCTAAGCACAGCCTTGGGGCCCTCAAACAGCTTTGAATCCCAGCCCTCTTTCCCACCATGCAGCGAGTTCGGGCCTTGTTTGGTAGTTAGGGTGTATGTTTGCCCATTGAGATTCTTAATAACGGAATCCTTCAACCGGTTGGTAGTGCGACCAATAGTTGCGCCAAAGTATGAGGAGTTGTACCTGACGTAGTGCTCTTGCGTCGGGAAACCCAATACGATGTTTTGGCCAGCAACCCGAATCTCTTGGATAATCCCGCCGAGGGGAAGGAAGGTGAACGCAGATTGGTCTGGAGTCGAGGCCATGCTCCCTTGTTTTTATTTTCAATGACGAATCCGCTTCATTTATGGTAGACAGATAAAGTTAATTCAAATGACCAGATGATTCGGAAGGACGTATGTATGTTGTATTCTGACCCTCATCTATGAATGTAAATGAATCGTATGCCTTGAAATTCTGATGTTATTGCCCCGCAGTGATCTACGTCATCCCGCAATGCTTCAACTAATTAGTTAACTATTGGCTAAGGATCTTTGAGGGTTAACTATCTAGTTAACTAACTAACAAGCGTGAGATTGATATAGATAAGATCATTGCACCAACCCTGGTTGAAATCGCCAGCCAGAAGCTCACACTCATCTTAATTTGTTAGTTGTTATTTGGAGGATGAAATCAACTCAGGTTGAATCAGTGGCAAGGTGTAGGAAAATGTATCTGCCATTGATTGATGTGCCTTTTTTAATCTGGGGCATGCCTGATGGTGCTGTGACTTGTATTTTCATTGATAACTAGTTACCACTTTCATAACTAGTTAACTATCAGTTCATCCAGAATATTTGACAATATCATCATTAACTATGCTACACTTTCTTGACTCCTCCAAGTGGCGTATTTCTTCTAATCCCATACCTTTCCATTATTCAGCACCCAAGACAGACGGTGGGAGGTCTAGTAACGTCGAATATATTCCATACATAAGATGTTGGTCATCCGGTTGATAGACGGGAGGGGGCTCTGGTTTATATCAGAGATTCGCCACCCCCCTTTCGTCAATTCGCCGTTGGGACAGTCTGAGGGAGGCCCCTCGGCACAGCTTTCTCACAATGTCAGTGGTTTGGTCAGGAACAACAGCCTCCTGCCTTTGTAATACACTATATACATGTATATCATTTCTGACAGCACCAATATAGCTCTCTGGCTATGGTTTTGACACACATGCCGACCTTCCAAACCCTCCGCAGCCGAGAAGGGTTGAAGTGCTCGTTCGCTAGTAGATCTAAAATAGTAGAAATAAAATGGCATCTCATCCTCATCGCCTCAATATCTAGATTGAACCCCGAGCTGCAGGCAGCAATTTACAGTACAGATTCAATCTCTTGCTAGCTGAATAGGAGATATTTTCCTCTTGCATTAAACTTCGTCTTTTTTAAATCGCTTCCTCATCAATCAAATTGACATCAAAGCATAGGAGATTGTAAGTAACAATTGAATGCAAGTGATCAGGAAACACTTTTCTTAAGGATACATGAATTGAATTGCCAAATTAACCTAATCCTATTAAAAAACTTTGAGAGGTACAAGTTTTAAATCCATGGATCCCTCTTGAACACATTTTCTGGAATGTAATGTGTCAATGCCAAAACATGTTAAACATCGATCATCTGGCAATAGAAGCCTAAGTTAACCTTCCAAAACCTGTTCAGCAGTAAGGACAGGAAGGATAGAGTATATTCTCAAATGAAGAGTTGGAGTAGATGATTTTTTATCCTCGGCTTAATGCTCGATCGATGTTCCTCAAATGTTGAATTATCGAAATGAGAACAACAAAAAATTTCTCATTTCTCTGCGTAGAACTTCACGCAAAAGTGCGTAAAATTTTCAAAACATTTTCCTATCTTCTTCATAACTGCACATTGAGTGAAAAAAAAAAAAATCAACAAGCTGCAATGAAAAACATATCAGAACCTAAGGTAGATGAAAGCTGACATTGAGTTCAGTGAGATTCTGTAGACTGTTTGCCACTCTGCTTGCCCATCTGCAGAGCATTTTATAATCGTTTACTCTATTCCATGGACAGGCAGAATAGAAAGAAAAGACACGGAGTATATGTTGTTTTTGTGTAATTCAGCATTCTTTTCATCACTGTGGCTGTGCTATTTGCAATGATATTGCAAAAAACTTCGAGCAGAGTTGGTTGGGACAGATAACTAATCATCATTGAATGCAACGGCGAGGGAGTCTCAATTTCATTAGAAAATGGTAGCTCCAAAGGCAATTTGGTACCCAAGAAGAGAGAATGATCTCTCCAAAGGTATAAAAACGGGTCCAAGATAGTGTTCACTTTGGGCGGGAGATTGGGTTGCATCTGTGGCTATGCGATCACCTTCAATTGCAGACAGTGTTGTCGAGAGATGACCGCAGAAAAGGGTTCGGAATTTCAAGGTTAAGAGACAACTAACTATAAATGAAGATTTGACCGTTGACGTTGAGAACATAAAAGATACAAGTAACTGTCAAAACTCGTTTTGTAGAAATAGTGTTAGAAGCATTTCAATGATAGCGGCGGCTAAGCAAACTTGTTCTAACGTTGAAGCATTACTTTTTTGCCACTGAAATTGAGTCTAACACAATGAAGCTCTAGTTAACTCTCCGTAGCTCCATATATCATCCACATTTTGTGCCAAGCATGATGATACTATACCCAGTGTCAGGGTATCAATGCGTGGATGCTAGGAGAGAAGAGCAGTATGACGCGGTTGTAAGATTGCTGATTCCTTGACTAAGAGAACTTAGCTAGTTAGTTGGGTGAATTGCTTTTGCCTGTCCCACCCTCTGGCCAGTCTTTCTTGAAGTTATAGTGATATATAGAAATAAGAAGAACATATGAAAACAATGATCTAGAAATAATGCTTGTCAACATATTTCAAATGATAGAAGAAAAAATATATAGATAAAATAAAATTAATAATATAAAATTGATAATGAAAAAAGTAAAAATATATATTAATAATTCAATAAATATTATTTTAAATATAATTTTTTTAAAATATATAATATAAAATTTAAATTATTAATAATATATTTTATTTTAAATTAAATAATAAAAAATATATTACTTAAAATTATTTTTAAAATTATTTTATATATTTTAAAATATATTATAATTATTTAATAAATTTTAATTTTTTATTAATTTTAAATATTATTATTTTATATTTAAATTATATAAATATAAAATTAATATTTTTAATATTTTTTAATAATATATTTTAATAAAAATTATTATAATAATTAAAATAATTTTAATTAATATATTATTAATGATAATTTTTATTTTAAATATATTTATAATATTTTAATAATATTTTAATAAATTAAATATTAAAATATATTTAATTTTTATATATTTATAATTATATTATTTATATTATAAATATTTTTTTATATTTTTAACTTTAATATTTTTAAAAATAATAAATAAAAATTATTTATTAAATTTAATATTAATTAATAAATTAATTATATATATTAAAAAATAATTATATAAAATTTATATTTATAATTTTAATTTAATATAAAAATTATTAATATAAAAATAAATAAAATATATAAATTTAATAAATATATTTTTAAAAATAAATATATATTTAATTAAATAATTAAATTATATAATAATAATATAATATATATATTTATAATAATTAATAATTCAATAAATATAAAAATTATTTTATATTATTAATATTATTGTATAAATAATAAAAATATATATTATTTAAAAATATTTTTATTAATTACTATATATATTTATAATTAAAAAAAATAATTAAAATAATAAAATATTTATATTTTTTAATTCAATTGATTATAAATAAGATTTATTACATTATTATTATTTTATCATAGAAATAAATTACATACTAATGAAATAATATTTATTTATACAACATATCTAAATGAGAACATAAAAATGATTTTTATATCAAGTATTAAAGCAAAATATGAAAGAAATCATTATCAAAATGTGAAAGACATTAGTAAAATTACAAATTTTTAAAGATGATCAATAAATAAGTCAGTATCAGTGATTTACAAGTAGATAAATATTAGAATTAATGTCTCAAGCGATCAGAGTTACTATATTATTGCTGGCCATACTTTCCACTACAAAGGTGGGGGGGGGGGGAAGAATTAATTTGCTGCGCCTCTTGGGGATATGTTCTGTCTAACACTGGTAGGTTGGAGAGTTAATTCCACTCTTTGCCTGGCTTGAGAGTAACCGTGGGCTTTTTCAATACACGGTAAAATGGAATAGTTCTGACTGGCGCTGGATTCATGGCCCCGCTTATCCGGGAATATTTACCCAAGCTGTGGGTTCCGAGCGTCAACAAAAAGACGACAGCTCTCTGGGGTGTTGTTCGGTGCAGATAGGTTGATGCCCCCTGAATCAGTTCAAAGCCCCCTCTCCAAACAAAAAGGAGGTAGATAGATACACATCGATCGATGAAGTATGTAACCCCACTGTACATTTGGAGAATGACAGACAGTTATTATGCAGCGGCTTCCATGTCGCTCAATAATAAGTTGGGTGAACAGGAAAGGCTGTGTGGTTGGGTTAACAAGCTGATTGACTCCAAGACCGAACGATGGGGAGGATTTTCAGCTCCAGATCTATTTTGATTCATGACGCTAGCTGGCCTGTAGCTTGGCTGGTGATGATGATAATAATAATGCACACCTACCTGTATGTAACCAACTCCAACCTTATTCATTCGAACAATTAGATGTGTGGTAGGAGGAGTTTATGAGGGGCATCCACTGGACATTCCCCCACAAATTCATCGGTATCGTTGTGGTAGTGACGCAAAACGGGACCTGTTTTTATGTTTGGCTCACCTTTGGGGGGAATGTGCATACGGAAAATGAGCTGTTGATTGGGAGAAAGAAAGAAACAAAACTGTCTTTTAAATTTATGAAGTAGAGAAAGATTAACGAACCAAGGCACACCTAGAATGTCAACCAATGTATTATTCCCACTAATACTACATGTCAATCTGTGAGGCAATGACCTTATCAACTCCTAGGTCCGGTAACTACTAACTCCCTGTGCCCGTAATCCGATTGATCGGGCACGCGGTCGAACTGTTTATCCCGACTTCCAGCTGCGGAGATATAGTTGTACGGCTGGCTGTGCAAACTCACGCGTCCACACAAAGTAGATGATATGATGACGTATGGATGTACGGACGTTTACAGTCGTCTCGTTATGGTTAAGTATGACCGTTGCTGAGCATCTCCTGACCCGCTTTGGCGCCTAGAGTAGACGCTTGATTCTCCATCGCAGGTGCGTAACTAAATATGTTGCCAATGTGAGCCAAGAGTCTATGCAGTAATTATTTTCTTCCGTGGGTTCTCGAATGATTGAAAAGGTTGGGTGCAACTAATCGCCTAGAATCCTGACACCCTGATATTGCCCGGGATCGCAGAGATGCAGCTTCTATGATGAAATACTTCCCGAATACTGGATTTCCTCTTGATGGTAGAGGGTTCATTATGCCATCATAGAACCAAGAACCTTCTCATCCTCGTTTCATTATTGTTGTGCGGAGTCTCGTGGTTCATAACCAACGAGAAGATGCCTGGCTATGCAAAAGCAAATCCTTGCAGGACGTGCATTCACAAGAAGTAGAGACGGTGAAGAGGCGAAACAGTTTATCGTTTCTGCGCTTCAGTGCCACGGCCAGATTCTTCGTCTTCGATGTCATCGAGCGCTTCACAAAATCGTCGGAGCGGATCTTGAAGCAGCGAGCAAAGTCACAGCTGCATTTTTTATACACGTCCAATAATTACGGCCAACGGAGCAACAGGAACCCGGTACTGGAGATTATACCGTATTGAACGAAACCGATTCGTATCATGTATACGGATATGCGGAGAAGGCTCGGGCTTGGATGAATTGCTGGTGCCTTAATTGATAAAATACGCCGGCGGGCCAAGCAGAGCCGGAGACTTTCCCATCAATATCTCTGCTTGGCCGTTCTTATGACTGCTTCAGAGGGGCAGATGCAGATTATTAAAGCAGACAGCGTGCGTCGTCTCTGCAGTAATATCATCCACCTCAAAGGCGAGGTTCAGCATTACTGGAAATCGCGGTGTATTTTTAAGTTGGCGCCTGCGTATTGTCCATACACGATACCGCACGATTTATACGAGCTGGGTTCATCTCTTCTTCCTCTTGAGTCTTGAGAACTTTTGTCTCCGTCCTCCGAGTTGGAGACTAACTAAGCCACTCCAGTTCACTAATGAAATTCAACCTCTGGAACATCACATTCAACCTCCAGATGTCGTCAATCAATTAATTCAATATGTCTCTGAAAGCTTCATATCAAAAAAAAAAAAGGCTTACAAGCCATTCAAGTTTATAAAAATAAATAAAAATGAATTAATTTACTAGTATTCTAGCTGCTGTTATTATTATTCATATATGTCTTTGTAAAAATCAATAAATATCAACGTATATAAATTTAAATACTTAGAAATAATATGAAAAACTGATGTTTGCTATGAATAAATTTTTAATTTAATAAATAGTATTTATAAATCAACAAAATCAACTTTTTCAAATTATAAATATATAAAATATAAATAATTTATCTTTTTTCATATTTAAATACCATGGAAAAAATTAAGTATTTTTAAATTTATAAACTAATAATTCAATGTAATTAAATAAATTTATATATAAATATAACTATTATTAAACTTTTTAAAAAGAGTTAAAAGAACTATATATACTTAATTTAAATTAATAAAAATATAGTTTTAAATATAAAAACTAATTTCAATGAGATTTACTTTTATATGATTCAACTTTAATAGGAAAAATTATAACAAAAATTATATAAATTAATAAATCTTTCACTATTTAACTAAATAATATAAAATAAGTAATAGTAATTAAAATAATTAAAATAATTAATTAATTTCTTCTTTTATAATTATTATAAAAAGAAGAATCATCAAACTTTTTTATATGAAATATTTTTTTTTAAATTAAATAATTAAAATTAATAAGAATAGCTAAATTAATAATAATTTAAAAATAATTTAATTATAAAAGTTATTCAGCAAGTATATAAAATTTTATAAAATAAAAATCATGATTAAACATTTAATAGCTAGTTAACTATTACTTAAATAAATATAAAAATTATATATTTTAAGTTTAATAAATTCTGTACAATCAACTTATTTAAATATATTAATATCTATTCTTATATCTGCTATAGATACTAAATATGAACTACTTTCTCAAAAAAGAATATATTGATGTAATGAATCAAATATAAAATTAATGATTAGAATTATATAAATAAATATTTTATAATTATTATATTATTATTTAAGTATAATCTTTTAAAGTTTTTATTATTATAAATACATTCTTAGTTACAAACTTAATTTTATTTAATGTAGAGAGAAAGTTTTCTCTTATCTATGAGCTTAGCTTTATTTATTTTCTTTAAAACAACTGATAAATTTATAAGCTTTTGAAAGCTCAATAACTTTTTAATAATATTATTCAAGACAGCAGAGCAAGAAAATTAAGAAATCTTTTTAATATTTTATATAGAGCTTATTTACACTTACTTTTTTAATAATTAATTAATTGATGAAAAAGTGTTAAGTAGTTATAAATAATGTAGTAATTTTATCAAAAGAAAATAATTAATTACACAGCTGCTAACATTAAAAAAAGTAAAAAAAAAGTAAAATACACACTCTCATTAATGAGAAAGAGGAAGACATTGAAAATACTATCTATATAAGCTCAGACAGCAAATAAAGCTTATAAAAGAAGTGTTAAATTTGAGTTAGTTATAGCCAAAGAAGGAAAAATATTAAGTGTAGAAGATAGAGAGAATCATATAATTCAGAATTACTCATTGAAGAAAGAGAGCAATCTTATTAATTAATGTATATATTTCTTACTTAGTATTGCTATTTAATTAAATTTTGTTCATGTTTTCAAATACAGTATTACGGTAAAAAAAATGTGTCCCAGTAGCCAGCAGGAAGTGAATAATGTTAGTTTAGTTAACCAGCATTTTTTATTTCTTAAGCTCTGTCAATGGTTGCTGTTAATAGAATCGTACCTGAACTACAGGCTGTATTAACTACTGCTGCTGGTTGGGCTCGATGTCACATTAAGAAAATGGAGGGATGATCCAAAAAGGAAGCTCTGAACAACCAACCTGTGGCTATGCGGGTGTGTATGTATGTATCTTTGAAAGCTTGGTTAGTTAACCATGCGATTAGGGCTGCAAATAACTGCCAGCTCAATGTCGTTCGCTTTCCAGTAGCAACTAAGCTTCTCCGAGTCGTAGCGTAAGAGATCTGACCAACGAACCAAAGACTGAATGAAACTTTAAAAGGGAGAAAATAAGCATTCCATATGACAAATTGAAAAATTAAAATGAAAAATATATTTTTTTTGAAAGTCTAAAGAAAAAAGAAAAGAAAAGAAAAAGAAACAAACATTTTTACCCACATCATCCTAACTTAACTGAGGCAGTTTCTCGGGCAGGGTTCCACGGTAGTAGAGCTGGTCTGGGTCCATTCCAATCGCATTGAGCTGCTCCTAGTTTCGACTGCTTGAGTTCTGACTAGCTTAAATCCGTGGTGATATAATCAATATGTAAAGGCCCCAATCGCCCTCGTCTTGAAATAATAATCATTCCTAGAAGGAACGCAATTTTTGTTTGCTGTTGTCATTGTCGGGACTTGCATATATCATATATCCATCTTCCTTGCATTGTTGATCTGTGTCTCCGTCATACCTCTGCTTGCAACACTTTCAGGCGATCGGCCCTCCTTGCTATATCTATCCATCTCTCCCATGAATAATCTGATTAAATAACGCTTCAACATATTGAAACATATAACTTTTTCACCTCAAGTCCCAATTCCAGGTATATACAACCTAATTATATATCCTGCTTCCTTCCACAACCTAACAACATTGTTGTACGCACTCTCGAATATCTCGATCTGATATGTGCAGCTCTTCCAGCGATATCCCCACGCCAACTTAGTGACAGTTTTTGGATTTAAAGCGACAATATACTGTGTCACATCCGGTTCCTAGTCTTGCTGCTTACAACCTTCCTGTGCACGATATCATAGAGCTGCAGGTTTCGCGTGGATCTGGCGATACAAAATCGAGTTATCTAAGTCTGGCAACGCTGCACCCTCAACGCAACTTTCTTTTTTGTTATTTTTTAAAGAACAAGAAAAAGGAAAAGGAAAGGGAAAAACTTACCCTGTTTCCCGCAATGGTGGCTCATCAACCAAGCTCCCCACTGGATGCTTCATCGCCCACTGAAGGAAATGTCCGCAAGAGAGTGTGCAAGGCCTGCGACAGATGCCGACTGAAGAAGTCCAAGGTACGGTTCAAATGCATACTTTTATGACGAGGCTCGATTAGGGCTCCCACAATCACGTGCTTAGTTACCTACTGACACACAGCCGTTGCATTCAACAGTGTGATGGAGCAAATCCATGCGGGAGATGTAAAACAGATAATGCGATCTGTGTGTTTGGCGAGCGGAAAAAGGCTCATGATAAAGTATACCCAAAAGGGTGAGCTCCACTGGTCCTTCTTTTTCAAAAAGTTTGATGATGCGCGTATATGTGTAAGTACCGGTCGCTAACCCCACCACCCACTATTTTTATGTAGATATGTCGAAATGCTAGAGCAACAACAGGCACAGCTGGTTACTGGCCTGCAAGCGCTCTACAAATTGACACTGGAAGGAGAGGGATGGCCCGGCGGCCCCCTCAAGAAATCAGGAAATGGTCATCCACTCACACACGATATTCTCGAGCGATTGGGGGCTCTAAAGCAGGAGGGTCATTCGATTGATGAGCCATTTGAGGACGATATTCAGTTGGTGCAGAAGAGGCTGATAGCGAATGGTGCTGGATTGATGCAACGGCAGGATTCCTCGGACGGATCGGAAAGTGAACGGTCGCCAACATTTCCTGCGAGACCATCACCTTTCGAAGCCCCTTACTCCTTAAATCATAATCCATTTCCACCAACTCCCCCCAGTCCAAATATTTTTCCTGTGCGAGCACATCAGATACAAGAACATATGCTGGATGTTATGGCGCCACAACAGCAGCAACATCAATTCGCGCTACAGCAGGAGCAGCAGCGACAGCAGGAGCAAAATAAGGAGCTTTTCCGCAACAATTTTCATCAAAAGACACTGAGCCATAATCAACGATTTCAAGGACAGCAAACGGAAATGCAACGACAGCAGCAGCAGCAGCAGCAACAACAACAACAGCAGCAGCAGCAGCAACGACAGCAACGACAACAGCGGCAACAGCAAACACCACATGACTCTCAGCAGAGGCTCCCTCAACCTCCCGCGCCGAATCCCCCAATATTCTTTAATAGTTCGGGGGTTCAACCGTCAATGAACCCCAATCTTTTTCAACAGCAGCAGCCATGGCCTCAAGGGGGCGGGCTGGATGATGCTATGGACATCACGTCCCTCAATGTCCCTCCAATGTCCTTTGAAGCTTTGCAACAAGCGCAGGCGTTTTGTAGACCAGTTGCTCTTGCCGGAGGTCTAAATTCATGTCTTCCGATGCAGCACGACTGGACTGAGGATGCAGACTTCAAAGCGTTTTTAAATCCTACTGCTACAATGATATAAGGGAAGGGAAAAGAAAAGGAAATGAAGAATCCCTTTAGCATTTTCATTCGCCTTTTCTTCCCCTTTCATTGTCGATTTATTTCTCTTGATAAGTTTATATTCATCATTTCACCACCTGATCTTTCGAAACTAGACTCATTGTGTTTCCTTTTATTCTACTCACAGCATCTCAAATCAAAAAATTAATGACGACAATGAATCTTTTATTTGAAATCATTTCCCTACCATTTCTTTCCCTACTTTGTTCTCATTTGCTTTTGCTAGCTTTCACTTGAACCCCCCCCCCGTGTGTGTGTATGGGGGGGGGGGGGGGGGAGAGAAGACCAGTGAGGAGCACAAACAAGAAATTCACTGCAGGGTAATGATTACCTTACTATCCATACCAAGATCACTGAAAAGAACACTCGAAATATCGTCCCTCAGCACCTCTTCATCAGGCAGGTTCGAAACTTGTGCGTGCGACGAAGACGGGTATGTAACCCTGTTTATTCAGCGCGATCCCATTGCGGAGTGCGGGGGAAACATTTTAATCATGACTGATATCATGTTTCCAAGTCTTTTAGTCCTGCCCTCCTTGTTTTGACGAGGAGGAGGCTCGGGAAGAATTCTCGGAAGGAAAGAGTAATGACATTGCATTGAGTTTTGCTTCCATTTCTCTACCCAGTATTGATGCCGATTTTTTATTTTTTATTTTTATTTTTATTTTTATTTTTGGTTTTTCCACTAATATGTGCGGTGTTTGCCTTATGGAGGATTTGACATTTACTCTTTTCGTCTGCTTGGATCCATGTAAATTACAATATACTTACTTAATGGGGTATATTAATCGATTGGGTGGATGAGTTGATAAGGGGATGAAATGCTATTAAACAAACCCGCGTCTATTCAATGAACTGGTTTTTATATATTATGAATTTGGTTATTCATCTACTTCTTAATATGGCGATCCGTTCTGGTTTCCAATCTGCTAAACCCTCTCGTACTTTGGAGGTATATCTGCTAAAAGGTCAGGGGGTGCGTACAACATGTGCGTGGTCGGTAAATACCTACCTAGGTGCCCACCCAGGTATTGAAATGAAACCACTAACTTCAGCTGAGCTACGTTGATGCAGTGCGCCGTTCTCTCAAGTTGCAAACCTTGGAGTGACCGCGACATCGTCTCTTGCATTCGTATAGTTAGTTAGTTACTGTAAACCAGCAGCCAGGCCAATTGGAGCTTCAAGGTTTGTGGACGAGATCCTACTTGGAAAATATGATATAAATACTTCATCTAGGTGGGTCCCCTGCCATCATAGTTATCCGAACGTATACTGCTTCTAGATTTCCCCGCCTCTGTTGAAAGAATCGCCTCCCATTAACTATCAATCAGGAGTGCGACTTTTCGTTGAGAGGTTCTTAAAGAGTTAGGGCATGGTCATGTGACCCACATCAACCTCCCGTTTATGCTTGCATTTCTAATCCTCAAATAACAAGTGACAGAAGAGAGAATTTGTGATTTTTCCTTCTTGTGCTGCAGCAGTTCATTTTTAGATGGAGCAAAATTAAAATAGCTGTTAATATAAATAACTAATTAGTGAAATAAATTTTATTTTTTTTTTAAAAAAAATTATTATGTAATGATATAATTTTACAAATTACTTATTTAGTAACTTATATTTTTAAATGAAAATATTAATATAGTTTTTAATTAAAAGTAAATTTTATAAATATGAAAATTTAACAGTATAATAAATAGTATTTTTTAAAATTTTTTTTTTTTTTCAAAATGACGATTATATATATAGAGATAATATAAATATATTGAATATTTTTCAAAATACTATTGTTTAAAAAAATAAACTATTATTTTCTGAAAAAGTTACCTTGTATAGAGAGTTTACTTTTTGAATAAAACAGAGTATTATATCTTTATATTGATATTTAAGATTAGTTGTTCTAGTGACAAAAAGTCAAGTTAAGTCAATTAAAGATTACTAAGTAGAGTTTTCTGTCAGATGAGAAAGTGTCTCAGTTTGCTATATGTCTCAGTTTATAATAATAACTTTTTTGCTGGGTTCTAAAATATTTTTTGACCTAAACATATCAACTCTGATATTCACTGAGGTATAGATGAAATACTATATGAACGCTTTTATTTAAAGAAATTCTGCATCATATATTTACCTTGAAAGTTCTTATTAGATCATTAATACCAACTCTGGACACGCCACGCGACATGATGCTCCACCGCAAAAAGTCTGCATGGATTGGGAAATCCACATCGTTCTACGACGAATACGTCCTTCGACTTTCTTCGAGGACCTGTCAGAAATCTTTGACCACGTTCCGCCCCCTCTTTCTCGGGGACCTCCCAACCTGTTCGAGGTTACCGGACCGAATGGAGACTCCTCGGGCAGGGGAGAACAGGCTAAGTCTCAGAACAACAGGACATGCAAACACTAAATGCCCACAAGCAGCCGGCTTTCCAGTTGAAGTTGATTATTATGCTGAATCAATAACAGCTACATCAAATTATTTTTCTTTTCCATTTTTAGTACTCTTCGGGTTCAACATGTCGGGCTGGCGTTCCTAGTCTCTGCTATGCATCAATGACGATGATGCGTGTAGCCGCGCGAATCAATTTGTTCAGCTCCGTTTTACCATAAAATAAATGATGAGGAAAATATGAAATAATAAGAATTAAATGGCTCATTCTCTGTCTTGTCATTGGTGAACTTAACTGATTCCCCAGCGGGCACTGCTGTTCCTCATCTCGGGCTCTGGTCGAGGAATATGCAAAAAAAAAAAAAAAAAAAAAAAAAAAAAAAAAAAAGAGGGCCGGTGTTGGGGTTTGGGGGTAAAGAGGCGGAAACCATTTCGATGAATTTCCAGCGCACAGAAGTTTTGGGACGGCAAATCGGAATGCCATCTAGGTTTCCAATCAGATTGTTACCCGCTCTCGCCTGTCTATGGTTTCGGGATTCTAGAATGAAGTAAAAATACTCTCTCCTCTTCACGGCGCCCCATGAATATGTATATGCATCATAAAACTGTTGTCGGCGAATGGGGCAAATTGATAATTGGAGCAACATGCTTCTTTTCGTTTCCGTTCTGTTGCTTTTCAGTTATTTCCTTTTAGCTAGCAAAGTCAATTTGTTTGTGGGTTGTGGCCGATGAGAATCTCGAGCCGGGCTTAAATTCCACGAGTGGCGGATTGAACCGACGGGGGCCAAACTTGCTTATGGGTGCGGGTACTTGTTGTTTGCACAGTTATATGTGAACTTGCGGCCCAGCGGAGATCACTCTGGCAATTCGAAAACTGGAGCAGAAGCATATGAGGGGGATTGCAATGCTTCCTTGCAGTAGAGCGACGCCATGGGAGGAGAGAGAGCGAGAACCCAACGGACGGGTTGAGTTCGCAGGAAAAACAAATACGCATGGGAAGAAGCTTCTTAGTGACATCATCCCCAGCAGCTCTCAATCATTTATCCATGGATTGGAGCTTCAGCTGCACACGGAATCGTTGAGGGCGCCCCCCCCTCCCCTTCGCCCCGCCAGAGTTGAGCTCCTTTTTAGTTTTCTCTTCCTTTTTCCCCAGTTGTATGTCGTTGCCATTTTACCTGCAGGTCGCATAAAGAAGACACTTAAATTTGTGTGTTTTCTTACATCGCATCTCCTCATGTTCCCGCCTAAGTTCAACGTCAGATTTTGCTGCTATTTGACAGGCCAGGCTTTTTTGCCACCAAACTTTTAAAACATGGTTGATTGCAACCTAGAGTCCGTCATTATTCATGGCCTTCCTCTTTCCTTCTTCCCATGGGCTGGGGGGATGGTGAGAGAGATCGATGATCTTGTTCCAAATCTTGTGGGGATGGATCTACCAAGGTACTGTGGGGCTTGACCGACGCGCTTCCACGCTGGCCTCTCCAACAACCATGCCCATATAACTAACCAACTATGCAGTTTGGATGCATATCTCTGGCAGATCAAAATCAGCCCTTGACTCGGCCTCCTCCTGTGCATGCATTTGGTGACAGGAGATGGCTTGCTTTGGTCGAAACAGTCCAATGATTCATGCCGGGTAATATTTTGCCAGTATACCGCCCGTTGGTTCACAAGGCATGCACTGGTTGTATTTTATCATTGCCTACTGCGCCAGGGGGCATTTGGAATCATACACAAGATGCAATACAACTGTAACGTCTGTATATACCACTCTTAGTGTGAGTGTGTTTTACCCGGAAACTTCATGTTTGAACAGGTTGAAGCTGCTTCGCTTCGTTTCTCTGGGCCAGGAAATTTGTGAGGACGGACGACCATGATTTTTGCGGTGACAAACCACTTGTTTCCATGTTCCTCATCATTGCGTGATAGGACCGTTAATCCTCTGTTGTTTATTTATTTAGTTTCTCACTTGTGCAGCGTTTTCTTTTTATCTTTTGTCCGTTTTCTTTCTCTTTTGTTTTACTCAGCATTAATAATTCACTTCTTGTCAAAACATTAGCATTAGCGGGTACAACGGCTACCCTAAATCACATATCTCCCTAACTATAACTATATCTCCTTGACTAAGTTTATCTCTCGGTTATGAAACCGCTGACAAATCTTGACAAATGCTTGTTAGGTTTATCTGTAGGCAATGAAGGCGAGTTCATAGGAGATGCGTTGCTGGTGTTGAACCAGAATAGCTACCCGAGATAAAAAGCAATGATATACAATGTTTGGGAGGCTGTAGTTAGGGTAGCGTAGCCGCAGCATCCACTAAACAAATTGTGCTTCCAAATTTCCGATACTACTAGGAGAGTGTGTATCTAGGAAGCTAACTAGTCAGCCAAGTCGGGCTTGTTGGTTTGCGACTTGCAGGATCCCAAATTTCCCCGTACGTGGATTGATGAAATGAGAAAAACGCGATTTGCCACAAACATGAAAAATGATCGGTGTGATAGCGAAGGGAGCCAGAGTTACCTCATGTTCAGATTCTCCTCCTGCTACTCGCCGGTAGATCTTTAGGTTATTGCTGCCAGCTTGAAGACAGATTAAAACAAGGTGTCCCGTCATATGTTACACGGGTATGTTGTAGTTCTTCAGCGGCGGTTCGTTGTGCAGTATTGAATTCTCTTCAACAGTGGGGGGGGGGGGGGGGGGGGGGTTGTGGTCTTGACCGTTCATTCATGCCTCTCGCTTTCCTGGCCTCTGTAATTAGGGTTGGAGTATTCCCCCCTCGAGTGAGCCATTTTCTAGTAGCAATTCTCCTGGCAATTGATGCCGCCAGTCCTTGAAAAGGAGGGCTCTAACAGGTTAGAACCTATCTCATTGCTCAAAGCGGGTAAGTACCCCCACAATTAGATCTGTACATCTCTCGGTCCCGTCTCATACTTGTTTTTGTTGATGGACACAAGAAGGCAACTCTTCAAAGAACACAGAGCGGAATGGTCCCAAGGGCCTTAAAAAGGGAAATGGAAATCGGATGGTTTTATCAGACGGTTTCCCCCAATTTGGTGTTCAAAATGGAACCGTCTGCGTTGATCATGAGAATGTGTCTTCTGGAAGAGTTAGACTCCATTTTTGAACCAACGTTCTCTAGCTATCTGGTCGCAGTAACCATATCAGCTGCTTTCCTCTCAGAAGATACATGGCTTGTCCTAATTGGTGTGCTGAGAACTGAGTATAATCATACTGTGAAGGAGCAGGTCGACTTGGATTCACATATCGTAGTGCCAGGGGAAATTCTCACCCAGTAGTCATCGTTAGGCCCCTAAGAAGCTGTTTAAAGAATGTCTCCTGCTGTGGCCATGCCTTGCATTTCCAGATCAGATTCAAAGTTTTCTGTTATTCTGAAGCTAATATTCGGATGCGCAAAGGCCCAGAGCACCGTCCCCAGCCAATAATCCTATTTTTCAGCTCCATGGCAAGAAATCTGCCTGGCTGCGGACTTACCGTTAAGGTAATTTTTCAATTTTCAGCGTGAGCCATCAAACGATGTTCAATACTGTGCCTTTTTGAAAATAAACTGAAACTTGCTCAAGTTCCAAGGAGCACCCCACATGAAATGTCCAGGATCAGTTCTCCTCAGCCGCTTCCCAGGTAAAGATGGAGGGAGTATGGAGCATTGATAGTGTACAGAAAAACTATGTGATGCATCGGGCAGATTTCCCCCCCCCGGAGACTTTTGATGTATGGATGGAGTCCACCATTGAAAACAAGTTCCCTGACAGCGTAGATCATATAGCTATGTGTCCGTAGAATTGGAGAGTTGTGGGATAGCCAGGCAAACTCATTCTTTTGCAAACCGTCATTGGGTTCAGGGAGCGAGCCCCGCCTGGGATGGAACCACTTGAGAAAACCGTGAGCTGGTAAACTTATCAATTTAAAGTAAAAGCCGAAATTAAATGGCACATTTTTAGCTTATTCATTTGTGAGAAAATCATTGGACCCAAGGGAACAATCGTTAAATCACTCAAGATCTTCAAGGACATGCATCCATACTCAAGTGAATGAATGGATGCTTGTGTGCCTCCACACTCGCTCCCCTTGGTATCTGAAGCGGAAAGCCTAAGGAGAAAAATATCAGTGCCTTAACTGGCATGTGGTAAATAGTGTTTCAAGTAACCAGGATGGGGGAGATTGAATAAATAAAAAGGTTGCTGAGAAGCAATATTGAATGTCATCGGGTCATGGGTCATGAGGGTAAAATTAAAACCCCCATCGACCACGGTGCGATTCGAACGCACAATCTTTGGTGCCGAAAACCAACGCCTTAACCATTAGGCCACGCGGCCATCATCGATATGGTCGGGGGAGGAAGAGTGCGATTGTTAATCAACCCAAAGTAGCTAAATCAGGCATTTGGCATATCTGATCCGCTCTTCTTGTCTGGAAACATTTGATAGAAGAGCAGAGAGGGAATAAAGAGGAGATAAGAACAAAGGGGAGACAGGCTCCGTAAGTCAAACCTTTCGTCCTGTCTTTCATTCAAAATTGTCGAACATCGATGTTGTAATAACTTAATAAATACACCATGAATAAGAGAAAAGGATACTTAATGACTGAGAACACTACCCCTTTGCTAAACATTATCACAAAGAAGGAATCTTTTTGGCCAGGAAAGGCTGGAACCGCAAAGGATCACTCCGAATGTGTGCGCCTGGCTCTAAAAAACAATGGAAAGGGAGGAGTACACGAAACAAAATGTATATCATTATATAAACGCTATCATCGCAGCACAGCAAAAAACTTAGCACCAGGCCCACTAGAAAAAGGAAAAAGAAAGAAAAAACAAGAGATAAAGAGAAAGAAGAACAATACCTAGCACAAGCAAAAGGGGAAAAAAAGAGGGAACAAACATCAAGCCAACTCCCATTATCCATAATACAGCATTCATCAAAAAGGACATCGGACTAAACCTCAACTTCAACAGTCAACCCACCCTCACTACCATCTCTATCCGATCCAGACCCATGCCCATCATAATCCTCGTCATAATCATCCTCATAATCATCACCCCCATCATACTCATCCGTCTCCCCGCCAGTCCCCGTCCCATAGTGCGAATCTCGCCGATGTTGACGCCGGCGGCCCGACGACGAATGCGAACGCTCGCGACGTGTCGAGCTCGCAGTAGTAGAACTGGAGGGTTTATGGGCCTGTCGACTGCGGCTGTGACTCTGACTCTGGCATTTCTGATATGCTCCGCCACTGCCGCTGCCGGCGCTGTGGTCTATAACGACCCTCTCACCCTCTTCAGCATCGCAGCTTCCCTCACCATCGTGATCTGTGTCATCGCCCGCGGCGCTACGACGATGCTGATAGGAAGAAGCAGTGGTAGCCCTTCTCGCCCGCTTACTGTCCGTATCATGAGCGATGGTGGTGGGAGGGGCGGAAAGGTGGCGTGTCGGCGCTGTGGGACCGGTTCCGTTTCCGCTGGCGTTTCCACCACCTCCTGCCCCCCCGCTGCCAGGTTCTGCACTAACACTGTTACTGCCATTGGTTGCATTGGCAATAGCCCCCCGAGACTGTTGTCGCATCCTCTGCCTAGCCAATTCAGCCTCAAGCTGCTCATTACGCGCATTCTGCTCCTCTAGCCTCTTGCGTGCGCCAGAGCGGTCGAGTAAGCGGGCCTCGCGCTCAGCAGTTAGGCGCCGTTCGAGCTCCTGCAACCTTTTTATCCATTTCTCATGCGATGGTTCACTGTTGGGATGTGAGTTCCGGGGAGAAGAGGTGTGATGGTATTGCGCTTGCTGTTGGGCAACTTGAGTGGAGGTGGAAGTGGTGGTTGCAGCTGCAATGGGATTGTTGTTTAGGTTTGCTGAAGAGGAATAGTGGGTTGGTTGGAGGATGCCGGAAGAGCCGCGGGAGACGTTGCTGGGGCTTCGACTGGGCACTGGCCCTTGAGCTTGTGGTTTGCCGCCCGCTGCGGAGGCACTGTCGACTGCCGTTGTTGTGGAGCTGTAGTGGGAGAAGGTGTTGGCAGCGATGTTGGAAGGGGATGGTCTTGGAGCGCCTCTTGCACTCCCTGCTTGTCCTCCGCCTCCAGCAGCGGCGGCGACGGCATTAGCGGCACGAGCGCGCGAATGAGATTGGAGAAGATTAAGCTCCGCTTTCAACAACCTATTCTCGCCCCTGAGTTTTGAGATCTCGGGGCTGGTAGCGTTCGACGAGGTCGACCGGTGGTGGTGGTGTTGTTGCTGTTGAGCGGATTTGAAATTCTGAACCATCTCCTCCAACCGCTCGAGTTTCTTGACACGCACGTTCAGACTATGTTCGAGATTTTGGTATTCCTTTGTCAATTCACGTTCCACAGACTTGATCCGCGTCTTGAAACCGCCAATTAGGTTCTCGACCGTCTTAACTGCGAGGAGGAGATTACGGCTGAATCCAGGCCAGAATAGCATGTTCCCGATAACCTCTTGGCTGGGCAAGTTGCCATTGATCAGGCTATTCGAATGGGCCCAATCAGGACCACACATGGCAGAAAGCCGTTTCCAAATATTAAGGAACATGGCATTCCGCTCGTTCAGCTGGTCTTTATACTGTTGTTCAAGGGCACTGAAGCGTTTCCGGTCCTGACTTCGCGCAGCCTCCAAGTCTGTGATACGCGAATTATTCTGGGAGATTGTCCGTGAAGCTTGATGATGATTCTTCAGTGACTGTTCGAAGGAATGTTTATCTGCACGATGTGCCTGTCGCTCTCTTTCCAAAAGATCGGCGAGCTTCCGAGTCTCCAGGCCATGACTTTCGAGAAGGGCATCACGATTGCGAAGTAAGGTTTCCTTCTCATCAAGTTTGGTGCGGGTACTCTCCAACTCCAGAGCGGTCGAATCCAGTTCCTGCTGCAGCTTAGTTATTGAAGCGAGCAAACTTGACCTGGTGCCATTAAGGTCACCAAGGGCTTCACGAAGGCTGTTCTCCAACTCCATCAAGCGCTCCTTCCATGTCGTAGCTTCAATCTCCCTCGAGGAGAGGCTTTTCTTCAATTTACGAACCTCGTCCTTAGCCGCGGTGGCTTCGCGGTTGAGCTCGTTTATAATCCGCTGAACCTCTTGCTTCTCTTTACTACCAACAACTTCACGCTGATGCCTTTCCTCTGCAAGACGATCCTCAAGCTCCTTAGCTCTATCCTTCTCATTCTGATAACTCATCTGACATGTTTTCAACTCAGACTCCAAATCGCCAATCTTAATTTTATCGCCATCCTGCTCCTCACGGAGGAACGAGATTTCATTCTGACTAGACTCCTGTTGAACAGTCAAACGCTGCACCTTATTATTAGCCTCAAAGAGACTCTTCTCCATCTGCTCCAGTTCCCGATTGGCATCGTCCAGCTCCTGCTGCACAGATTTATATTTCTGCAAGTTATTCTGGGCATCTTGCTCAAGCCTAATGATCCCCTCACTCGCCGATCGCATTTCCGCCTGCAGAGCCTTCAAATTCTCCTGCTGATTACTCAACTCAACCTCCATGCGCTGACACTCGTCAATCTTCTGATCCAGCTCATCGCCCAAAGCATCAATCTCCTCCTGCGCTTCCGCCTTGAGATCCTGCAACGCCTCCTCCCGCTCCTCAGAAATCTGCAATGCCTGATCCCGCTCAAATTGCATAGTTTGCAAGTCCTCCTCAGCTTGCTCCACGTCTGCTTGATAAGCACGATCCAGCGCCTCCAGATCACTCATGCATTCATCCAGCTGAGCGCGAAGACTTTGATTCTCAAGCTTAAGCGTCGACACGTGGTCTCGGAGTTCACCATTCTTGATCTCGAGACTTTCCCATTCCGCATCGCTGGCTCGGGATTTCGCCCCATCACTGGTATGGGAATTAGATCTGTCCTGGGCGCGGGAGACCGAACGCTCAAAGATACTATCACCAGCCACTGACCGGCCACCGTCAGCTCTACGCTGGCCCAGCTTCAGGTCTTCAATTTCCTGGTACAGTCTTTCCTTTTCGCGATTACGGGACGTGAGCATGGACGTCTGTGCACTGACTTCCCGACGCAACTCAGCATTTTCCTGCTTGAGAAGCTCCAGTTCGACAAGAGTGGTGTTGGAATTCGTGCTAACAACGGCATTCCGATCCCCATCGCGGTCGGACATGGTAGATCGAGAGATGATAGACAGTTTCCCAACACGGGAGCCTCCGGAACGGCTGCCGGGTATTGTATCGGGTTTCATGCGTAAGATCTCATCTCGAAGCTTCCTGTTTTCTTCTTCGGCCTGTTCTCTAGCTGCAGTTTCTGCATCAAGCATGTCTTTCCACATATCCTAGAGATAAATTTAACAAGTCAGTATGATTCGAGCATAAAATAAAACTTTGCAAGCCTGGAAAATGAATGAATGATTTCTAGAAAACAGAGCAAAGATTTCAAGAAAACTCACCCTCTCCTCTCTTGCCCCAGCATCGGAGCCAATAGCCACCCTCCCCTCTCCCAAAGACTTAACCAGCTCAGCCAACTTCCGCTTCTCACTTTCCCTCGAGATACTCTCAGACCGTAATCTCTCAATCTCTACCTCATATGTCTCAATCCTCTCGCGCAGGTATGTCAGCTCTTCCTCATCCACACCACCACCCTGTCCCTGCCCCTGGCCATCCTCATCAGAAGCCTCCTCCCCATTCTGACCCCCAAACTTCTCCTTCCCCTCCTGACCCCCCTGCCCACGCTCGCGAAGCGACTTCTCCAAATCACGAACATTCCTTCTCAGCGCCTGATTATCCTTCTGCAACTTAAGCTTATCCGATTTGAGCTCGACATTTTCAGAAATCATTTCCTTGATGCCCTCCTCGGACCGCTTATCAAGGGCCTCGTTTAAGAAATGAATGCGCATCTTCAGATCGAAATTCTCTTTCGACAACCTATCAATCGTGCTGCTCTGTTCTTTAAGCGTTAGAGACTTGCCACTCCGGCCAAAGGCGGGTGTTGGGGCACCACCACGCTTGTCCGGGGATATGCCAAGATTAGTTTCGCGGAACTGGCGCACGAGGGTGGCTGGAATAGGGATATCCTTCGTATGGTCCGCAATGATGGTGCCGGGTGGTGGCAGATCCCGCGGTTGAGCTCTGGGAGTCATGGGGTCCGTTACAGACTTATTCCCCGATGATCCCGGACGGGCCTGGGCAGTGGATTCCTCTTCGTTGAGGGTCTGTAAGCTTGCTTCTGAAACTCCACTGAAACCTCTCCGCGGCTCCAACGAGTTCTCGTCGCTCATTGCTGATACGCCAGACGCCATGCTCCCAAGACTTATCGATCTTGACAGCTCCATCTTCTTACGTCTGCCGTGGCTGTGTGAGCGCTGGCTGCTGTTGTTTCCAGGGGCGGCTCCGCCGGACTGGAGTGCAAAATCGACTCCCATAGTTGCTTCTGATGCAGTATCCGTGGTCACCGTCGCAGCAGAAGAGGTCGAGAAGCGGTGAACAGACTGCCGACTCGTCAGGAACTTGGGTCTTCTATGTCGGCGCTCCGAAGATTGACCCGAACTATGCTGTGTATCGCCCTCACTTCCACTGACACCCGTAGTATCTTGTAATTGCTTCGAAACTGGGGAAACATTTCGCGTCGGCCGGCGCGGCGTGTTACCCACATTATCATCATCGGTGCTGGAAAGGTCTCGCTCAGCATATTGACGGCGGCGCTGGGACGAATTGCTCCGAAGACTCGACCTCGACTGAGCAGAGGAGATAATCCTCGAGACCGTCCTTGCAGCAGCAGCCGCAGTTGGAGAGGATGAAATCGTCTCCAACGATGAAGTGTTCACAGTGTCATTCCCTTTGGCGGAGGGGGTCACATCAGGGCCTTTTTGGTCATCATTATCTTGGTCATGGTTGTAGTTCCTGTGCTGTGCTGAATCCCCTTCCTCCCCGAAGAGCGACGGGTCCAATCCAGTCGCGCGGTGAGCAGCTGGAGTTTTGTACGCGCCTGGAGGCGTGGAAGGGGACGAGGGAGTTTCTCGACTATCACCTTCCTCAATCTGTGATGAAGCCCCAACATCCACGCCAACCAAGTATGTATCATCTGGGGCGCGTAGACCTGGAGTAGCAGCGACGTCGATGGCAGAGGGCTCAGGGACAAAGCTCGATTCAATGTCCATCAGTTTCTGGCGCATTTCTTTCTCATCTAGGGCAGTCTGATTAGGTAGCGTCTGGTCGTTGTAGCTCTCATTGGAGTTTTCGTTTTCGTGGTCGAAGATGATCCCATGGTCGTTGTCATGACTGCTATCATCGTGCTCGTGATCTGGGTCGTCGTTATGGTCGTTAGTATTGGTAGAGCCGTCCATGGTATCATAACGTCTGGAATAGTGAATGGGAAAAGGGTGAAACAGACTACTGGAGTCGGTGTAGTCAGCGCTGGGAGGTGGAATCGACGCTGATGAATAATCGTCGCCAGGCACATCGTGAGATCGCGAGGAATTCTGTGACGGGTGCGGTTGTTGGCGAGGTGGCCATGACAAGGGTGGATCTCGGGAGCTTAGTAACCGTGACCCATTCTTGTTGTTATTGCTATAGTCATCGTCATCGTCATCGCCATCCTGACTTGTATTATACGTAACATCCTGGCTCATAAGCAAATTGCTGCTGCGGTCGGGTATATTCTCCTTCTCATCCCATGGCCGGCGTCCTCTTTCATCACATTCTTGCTGTCCTGATTGCTCCAGTTTGGCATCATCGTAACTGCGCACTCTGGTCACTTTAGCTTCGTCCCCAAACTCCATTTTCATCGGGGAGAGCTCGTCGTCCGTATCAAAGCCGCCAGGGACTCTGGACAGCCTCCGTTTCTGGACTACTGCCGGTCTGTTCATGAGGTCTGGATTTGTACTGAGGAGAACGGGAGGGCGATGTGAGGTTGAGGATGACCACGAAGCTGCCATGGTTGGTCTGTGTTTGGGGGTCTTGGATGATGTCTAGAGATGTCTAGAGATGTGTTTGGTGGTGATTTGCTATCATACCGTCGAGAATAATACTGGCTGGCAATAGCAGCCGCAGCAACCAGAGCTGGTCTCAGGCTGCAGTTGGCTGCAGCAAGTAGGTATTTAGCTCAATGGGCCAGGCCGTGGCGAGGATTTAGAACATAGTTAGTTAGTATAGGCCTTGGGGGTTGCTGAGAGGCATATTAATATATGTACGAAGTTGTGTGTGTTGTGGTATTAGCAGCGGCAATTAGGAGCAATAGTTGGGTTATTTGGTTGATGCTGATGTTGTGGTGATCAACAAACGTCAAAGCTTGAAAATCAACAAAAATTCATCCTGGTTCAGGGAACAAACAATCGCGGGCCAAAATTGTAAAACTGTTAACTCTCTCAATTTTACAGTCCAGCAAGAAAAATAATGAGAGGATAAGATTTTTTTCTTCTTTATTTTTTCCTATCCTATTTTATTTTATTTTATTTTATTTTATTTTATTTTATTTTATTTATTTATTTATTTATTCTTTAAAAGGTCCTCATTCATTTCCGTATTTCCCGTTTTCAGCTTCGTAGCGTAGCGGAAGCTCAAGCAGCAGCCAGCTAGATAGTATGGCGCATATTTCACCCCAAAAACAGCCACGACCACGACCACAACCACAACCACGACCCACTGAGCAGGTACATGTCCTACATTACACGGAGCAAAGAGCGAGAGCGAAGAGACTGAATGAAACGAACTGCTCTGCTGGACGCGGTATTTGGACAACTGTGCCAGCGTCAAAGAAAAAACATCAAAAAAGGGCGGTCAGAGCGGTCTGAGAACCAGACAGAAACAGGATCTGCAATTCAGCTCAATCATCTTACGAGACCTGCTGTGCACACGCATCCCCATCCACCTAAATCAATCTCCATCACTCAATATATTCCCTGTGCCGTTCTCCTTGTTCTCTTCCTCCAAATGGCGCAGCGGTGGTCCGTGCCGTTCCCGGCAGTTGAGTGATTTAAAAAGCATGTATTATACAGAATCCCCCGACTCCAAGTTAATGTGTATATGTTAAGTGATGCGTTTTTGACAAAAGGAGGGCGCAAAGAAGGAAACTTCAGATAGACGGAGGAGGAGAGAGGAGGAGAAGAGGAGAAGAGAAGAAAGGGAGAAGTCGCTTAAACGCTTGATAAGAAGCAAGAGGAAAGAAAAACGAGAGTAAGAACAGGGACTGTGATTACAAAACGGTATAATTCGCCAGGAATAATAGAAAAAAGCAAGGTGTTCGTGGGGGCAAAGGAAGAGAAAACTATATGCCAGAAAGGACCAAAAAAAAAATAAAAAAAAATAATAAAAAATAATAAAAAATAAAATAAACGAGCAAAGCCAGAGTGAGAAGGAGAGGTAGATTGTTTTCGTTTCCGCAGTCGTTTGTAGAAAAGAAAAAAGAAAGAGAAACAGTCATGGCAATGACGACAGTAGGAGTAGTTAAATGGCGCCGATGTTCACATGAGGTTCCGAACCATCACTTGAACGCCAGCGACGTATTTCTCGAGTCTCCAAAAAAAAAAAAAAAAAAAAAAAAAAAAAAAAAAGAGAGAGAGA